GATACGCATCAGTACAGGAAGGAATCGAGCGAGTGCGGCCATGGCGCGAACGCACTCAGAGAGAGGAGTTAAAAGGCGCAGTAGTCACAACGAGAGACTTAGCCGTGCCAGGGGACGAAGTGGTCACCACTGTGGGCTTGTGGCTCGACCCAACCACAGAGGAGGGAGGGGAGCCGAGGGGAGAAGTCAGGAGGGTCAAAGGAGGAGCAAGGTCAGGGCCCAACGCAGCGGGGGCTACAGAGCCCGGTCTTCCAATAGTATCCACCCGATTTAAAGGCCTATATGGGGCTGTACCCTGGTCATTATTTCCGGAGCTCTGGTATTTCTGATGTTAAGTGTGCAATTTTTCAAGTAACATTCAGGTAAAATATATTTTATACAGACAGCCACTGGGTCCACCACTCTAGTGCCTTCTACCCTGTGATGTCACAGATTCACAGTACAGTGGTACCTCGGAATGCGAGTGTCCCTGTATGCGAGTTTTTCGGAAGACGAGCAGGATTTCCTCAAAAAATATGTCTCGGAAGGCGAGGGTTACCTCGGGACGCGAGTTTGTTGATACGCGTACAGGCCGACCTAGCGCGTGGTGGTTCGGCAATCATCGCCCCTCTGCCCCTCAGTTTACCATTGTCTCGCGCTCAGTGACTACCCCCACATCAATTCTTCTCGCGGATTTTCAGTGTTTTGTTGGATTTTTGGTGATTTGTCTATACAATTTGTTATTATATATCTCACCATGGGTCCCAAGAAAGCCAGTAGTAAGGATAAAGGCCAGAAAGCCCATGTGAGGATGACAATAGAGGAGAAACAAGAGATCATTCAGAAGCATGAGAATGGTACACGTGTTGTTGAACTTTGTAGGCAGTACAACAAAGCCACATCAACAATATGCACTATACTTAAGAAGAAAAATGAGATTATGGGTGCTAAAGTGGCAAAAGGAGTAAGAACAATAACGAAACAAAGACCACAAATACTTGAAGAAGTGGAAAAGTTGTTATTAATTTGGATACACGACAAGGAGTTATGGGGTGATAGTGTTTCGGAGGCCATTATTTGTGAGAAAGCCAGGGTGTTGCACGAAGACCTTCTAAAGAATACCCCTGCAACGAGTGATGCAGATACGAAAGAGTTTAAGGCAAGCAGGGGCTGGTTTGAAAAATTTAGAAAGAGAAGTGGTATCCATAGTGTTACAAGGCATGGGGAGGCAGCCAGCTCAGACAAACCAGCCGCTGGACGATTTATTGACGAATTTAAAGAGTTTGCAGAGGCTGAGGGATACCTACCGCAACAAGTGTTTAATTGTGACGAAACAGGACTGTTTTGGAAAAGAATGCCTAAGAGGACATACATTACCAAGGAGGAAAAATCCTTGCCTGGACACAAGCCTATGAAAGATAGGTTTACGCTTGTGCTGTGTTCAAATGCGAGTGGCGATTTGAAAATTAAACCCTTGCTAGTGTATCATTCTGAAAATCCAAGGGTTTTCAAACAGTATAAAGTGCAGAAAACCCATTTGTGTGTGATGTGGAAGTCTAATAAAAAAGCATGGGTGACAAGGCTTATTTTTTCGGAGTGGGTGAATGAAATGCTGTGCTCTGCCATAGAAAAATATCTGCAGGAGAAACATTTGCCACTCAAAGCCGTGCTTCTCCTCGACAATGCTCCTGCTCATCCTCCAGGCTTGGAAGATGATTTGTTGCCCAGATACAATAAATTCCTCACAGTTAAATTCCTTCCTCCTAACACCACTCCTCTAATTCAGCCTATGGACCAGAAAATCATAGCGAATTTTAAGAAACTTTATGAAAGGGCACTTTTCCGGAAATGTTTTGAAGTGACTAAAGCCACAAACCTCACCCTCAAAGAGTTCTGGAAACAGCATTTTAACATTTGTAGTGCTTTAAAACTCGTTGACAAAGCCTGGCAAGAAGTGACTCAAAGAACCCTGATCTCTGACTGGAGAAAATTGTGGCCTGAATGTGTGAGAGAACTAGACTTTGAGGGGTTTGAGCCTATAAATGATGCGCCTATTGTTGAGGAAATTGTTAGTCTAGGCCAGCAAATGGGCTTGGAATTGGATGGTGATGATGTGGAGGAGTTGGTGGAAGAACACAACGAAGAACTGACCACCGAAGAACTCCTAGCCCTTCAACAGGAACAGCAAGCCAACGCAGCAGCGGATGATTCTGCAGTGGAAGAGGAGGTGGCAGCAGCAGCAGCGAATGTCCCTTCTGCAGTAATTAAGAAGGTGTGTCAGATGTGGGAAGAGATTCAAACAAGTGTTGAAAAGACTCACCCAGAGAAAGCTGTAGTAGGCCGTTGTCTTAATCTTTTCAATGACAATGTGATGCCTTACTACAGAGAGAGCTTGCGAAGAAGGGAAAAGCAAGCTTCCATGGACAGATTTGTGGTGAGGAAATCGAGCAGTGAGCCTCAACCAGGACCTAGTGGCACTCAGATAAAACGTCCCAGGGAGAGCACACCAGAAAGGTCCTCACTGCCTGATGTGATAATGGAAGGGGACTCCCCTTCCAAACAGTAACTCCTCTCCTCCTCCCCCCTCCTCACCATCTTCCATACGCCTACAGCACTCGACAGCAAGGTAAGTAATAACTGGAACATAGTTTTGTAGGTTTATTTAGATGAATTAGGTATAAAAATTTAGTTTGATGTGGGGTTTTTGGGGTAGTCAGGATAGGATTAATTCATTTCCCTTTATTTCTTATGGGGAAATTAGCTTCGGAACGCGAGTTTTCGGAATACGAGGCGTCTCCAGGAACCAATTAAACTCTTAAACTGAGGTATGCCTGTACATTGCTTTGATTTGTCATGATGCTGGAGTATTCATTCCGTGACTTTGTTGGACATATCTACACAATCAAGGAACATCCGTGCACCATGTTGGCTCCAAATGCACTCATTGTGTCAGTGATGGCTGAGTGGTGGGTGGGTGGGCAGGCAGGCAGGGATGGAGAGGCTGAAATGTAGGCAGGCAGGCAGACAGGGAGAGGCTGGGAGGTAGGCAGGGAAGGAAAGGCAAGGAAGGAGGGAGGGAGGGAGGGAGGGAGACAGGGAGGCAGGCAGGCAGAGCTTGGGAGGGAGGCAGGCAGAGGCTGGGTGGTAGGCAGACAGGTAGAGGCTGGGTGGTAGGCAGGGAGAGGCAATGAGGCAGGCAGGCAGAGGCTGGGTGGTAGGCAGGGAGGGAGAGGCAATGAGGGAGGGAGGCAGGCAGGCAGAGCTTGGGAGGGAGGCAGGCAGACAGACAGGCAGAGCTTGGGAGGGAGGGAGGGAGGCAGGCAGACAGACAGGCAGGCAGAGGCTGGGTGGTAGGGAGGGAGGGAGAGGCAAGGAGGGAGGGGGGCAGGCAGAGCTTGGGAGGGAGGCAGAGAGGGAGGGAGGCAGGCAGAGGCTGGTTGGTAGGCAGGGAGGGAGAGGATGGTAGGATGGAGATAGATGGAAGGATGGAGGGATGGATTGATGGATGGTTGGATTGATGGAGGGAGGGAGTGAGTGATGGATGTAGAGGTAAAGCAGAGAGAGCGTGTGCATGGGAAGTATGGGGGGGCGGGGGGGGGGGAGGTGTGTCGGTGAGGAAAGGACCGGCTCACTGATAACTCTAACACACTTGACCCAATGAACCAGATGTTTCTTAAATTAAATTCTTTATGTACATCATATATATTTTTGCTTACAGATGTTGTTTAGTAATATTATTAGGATAATAAAGAGTGATAAAATACTTGTTTCATGAATGCTTTATTGTCTTAGATGGAGATTCTCCAGGCTGTTTCTGGCTGGCTAGCAGTCTACCGAGCCATTTTCCAGAATGGTCTTGGGGGGGGGGGGGAAGAAAGGAAGTGAGGGTGTGGGGAAGAGCAGGAGTGAAGGAATGGGGGAGAGGTTCAGTGAGGGTGAGGGAGGGGAGGATAGAGGTAGGATAGAGGACGGCAGCCTGCTTGCCATGTACGGACCCCCTGATGCCAAAACAAACTCATTACTGACCTTCGGTAATATCGACCGCCATACCGTTATATGAGGCTCTACATATCAGTCTCCCAAACCGGTCGTTATTACCGGCAGATCGGTATAAAAGAGGCCGTTAAATTGAGTGGATACTGTACAGTCTGACTCGGGGGGCTTGGTCTCCCACCCCACGAGCCTGAGAGGGGACAAGAGAAACATTCAATGACAAAGACGAAAAGAGACATTTTCATTCACGAATGTGCCCCCAATACCCACCATGGAGCCACAATTAGAGGCAGGACACCCAACAAGAAGCTATCGCCGATCATGCCAGGGCCCCCTACGGGTGCGTCGTGAGTATACGCCCCACAAACGCCACCTTAAGAACCATCAGTCCGTCGAGATCGGGTTCAGTGATGAAAGGGGGATTGACAATAAAAGGTTCACCCTCACTCGAGATGTTGGGTACTACAGTTCTACGGGTGCAAGAGTATGCCTCTTCAAATACCCCGGACGTCAAAACAAAAGAAGGCCAAAAGAATGATCAAAACAGGCACAAGGTCAGCAGGAAATGACAATGAGAAAGGAGAATAGGGTGGGGGGAGGGGAGAAAAATGAAACAAAAGGAAAAGGAAAAGTAGTCCAGCAAAATTTGTGAGGACAGCAGCAGGAGCACAAGGCTACAAAAGGACAGGGGACCGCCCTGAGGAGCATCACACTCCAGCAGCTGCCCACCAAGCCCCTCCACGGCAACAACGAGCTGGACAGGGAGGGGGATTTAGTGACCAGAATTCTGATAACCGGTGACGTTATTATATTTTCTCTCTCAACCACAGCCAAAGTGAGCTTCATAGCAAATTTCTTTTTTAATTTTACCATGATCAGGGAACACTTTTAAGAATATTAGAAAGAAAAATAATGTAAATTTTTATCTTTTTTCCTTGCAACCTATGGAGTTGTCCAATGAAACAGGTGTGCAGTGCAGGGATTAAAGCATTTCTGGCTACCAAGATATGGCATTTTGAAAGTAGAAAATTCTTTGACTGTTTTACTTTGTTTTTTTATGTTGTATACAGGTAAGTTTGTAATGACATCACATAAAGAACTGATTAGCCACAATAACTACATGCATGATAATTCATGAAGTCCTTCAAATTGTGTGCTTGGCAACAATTATTTTGCACACAGTAATGAAAAATACTTTAATCATATTCAAAACATTTATAAACTGAAGACAGGTACATATCAAATTATAATTTAGAGCTGTTTATTACATTATAGATACAAGTTGTGATGCACTGCTAAAATACACAAAAGTGGAGTCTTGGTTTATGTAGCAGATCCTGTGACATATACACTCCTGAAACTTCCACACATTAATAGACTTGGTTCTGACTAACCTTTCACTCTGAACAGTGGAATGGTTTTTACCCCTTACGCTTGCAAATTACTTCATGGATCAATTTTTTTTATCCAAAAGATTATTATACCTGGCAAGAAACTCACTGAGGATTATCACCGAGGAGACAGTATTATGCAAATTAAGTTTTAGCTCACTGTTATCTTCTTTAAAAAAAAAAAAGGAGACATTCATGAATATCATATTAAATGTGATTTTCTAAAGCTTTTTAAACAAGAACAATGATTTGATTTTCCTCCAGTATCAACACTCATATGTTCAATCAGAAGAGGTTTTCTTGATTTTTTTTTAATGCACACTGAACATTGATGTGATTTTTCTCGAGTATGGATTTTCATGTGCTGTATTAGATTTGATCTTTCTGAAAAGCTTTTTTGACACTCTGCACAATTGTATGGTTTCTCTCCGGTATGAATTCTCTTGTGTTGAATTAGTCGAGTTTTTTGTGAAAAGCCTTTTAGACACTCTGAGCACTGATATGGTTTCTCTCCCGTATGAGTTCTCGTATGTTCTATTAGATGTGATTTTTCGGTAAATTCTTTATGACACAATGAACATTGATATGGTTTTTCTCCTGTGTGAACTCTCATATGTCGTATTAAAAATGAATTTCTTGAGAACCTTTTGACACACACTGAACACTGATAAGGTTTGACACCAGTATGAATTCTTTTGTGCTGAATAAGATATGATCTTTCTGAGAAACCTTTTAGACATTCTGAACACTGAAATGGTTTTTCCCCTGTATGAACTCTCATATGTTGAATCAACTTTGATCTTTGTGAAAAGTCTTTTCGACACTCTGAACACTGAAATGGCTTTTCGCCTGCATGAACTCTCGTGTGTTCCATTAGGTGTGATTCTTCTGAAAAATGTTTTAGACATAATGAACACTGATATGGTCTATCTTCTCCATGAACTCTCATGTGCTGTATTAAAATTGATTTTCGTGAAAAGGTTTTTAGACATTGTGAACATTGATATGGTTTTTCTCCTGTATGAATTCTCATATGTTGTGTTAGATTTGAATTTTTACTAAATTCTTTCAAACAAATTGAACACCGATGTGGCTTTTCTCCTGTATGAACTCTTATGTGCTGTATAAGTTTTGATCTACTAGAAAACATTTTTAAACACACTGAACACTGATATGGTTGGTCTTCAGAATGAACTTCCATGTGTTGTATTAAAGCTGGTTTTTCTGTGAAGTCTTTTAGACATACTGAACACTGATGTCGCTCCTCTCCAGTATGAACTTTCATGTGTTGTATTAAAGGTGATTTTTGTAAAAACTTTTTCAGACACACTTCACACTGATACAATGTCTCTTCAGTATCAATGCTCACGATCTCCATTATAGTAGGGTATTCTTAATAGTTCTTGTGGATGCATTCAACAGCAAAATAGTTTCTTTCCTGTTTAATACCGTGATATTCTTTTATCTGTAATTATAATTAAGTTCAAATTTAAATATTGTAATTTGAGGAACAACATATCTAAAACAACATGTTATATGTTAACAGGGATTATTAATCAATTGCATTGTTTCTCACTCACTCACTCACTTTCAATCACACTACACACACACAAAGGCTTTTGACAGAGTTCCACATCAGAGGCTGTTCTGGAAATTGGAATATACTGGAGGGGTAACAGGGAGACTGCTCACATGGCTGAAAAATTTTCTGACAGAAAATTATGGCAGCAGAGCCAATGAATCAGACTGAAGAAATGTTATTAGTGGCATACCACAGGGCTTAATTCTAGCACCAGTAATGTTCATTGTATATATAAATAATCAGCCAAAATTATATGAACATGTTTACTGATGATGCCAAACTACTAGGGAAGATAAGAAACTTAGATGACTGCCATGCCTTTCAAGAAGATCTGTACAAAATAAGTGTATGGAGCAGCACTTGGTTGATGGATTTTAATGTGAATAAATTCCATGTTACGCAATGTGGAATAGGAGAAAATAGGCCATACACAACATACAAATTTTGTGAAAAAACTTTAACCACTGTACTGCGCCCACCGTGATATAGGGAAAGAGGGTGTATTGCCCTACATATGATGTTTGTTAGTATATTATAAGATTGAAAACTCCCATGGGTACATGGAGCTCACATCCTGTTCCTCAGGACTTGAGAAAAAAACCCTGTGTTGAATTTAATGAAATGCCAGTTTCTGGGCGAGCTCCGGAGGCTCCCTGAAGCTATCCTACTGATATAGTACTACCCTATTTGTGGTCAGCAGTCACAGAGTTCTTGTTACCTACTGGGGGACAAGAGCCAGAACCTGGTCCCCTGAGAGAAGCGCAGGAAGCAATGGACTATGAACACTTTACATTTGACGTATATCATACTTGCCATCAACCAGGAAAGGCACCTATAAAAAGATACACAAAACAAAACAAATCACTGTCTGGTTGAAAATTTTGAGGACCACGTCCTCAAAAAGACCAAAAGAACTCCCCTAGAAAGGAAACAAATAAGTAGCACTTCGTCCAACTAACCCCCCACCACCATCCAGTTCTTGAATGATGAAAGCCACTAACCAGAGGGTGGAAAAGGGACAGGGAGCCTTCAGGGCTCACTCAGAAACTGCTGTTTCATTACATTCAATGCTGGTTTTCTGTGGAGAGCCCCATCGGCTCCCTGAAGCTAACTGCCCACAGAGAAGTAAAAAAACAGTGACTTACTAGGGAGATGGCAGCACCGCAAGTCTCTATGCAAGGAAGAAACCGGCAGCAGTGACAGGTACCCCAAACAACACAAGGCTGCAGAGGGCCCGAGACAGAGCAAGGCTGCTGGAGGGAGAAGAAAAGGATGCAGTCCAAGAATCCCACACAAGGCCCAGCCAAGACTGAACCTAGAACAGAGCTAACTGGGACTCCCACCAGTTCACCAGGAACCCAAACCAGATCCCTGACTAGCAGACAAGCAAACTGACTGGGAGCCCACACCAACCAGTCATCGAGGTAGGCGAAGATACCCGAATACCTAGCAGAGGAAGACGGCCACCATGACCCGAGTCAAATGCGTAAAAATGCGAGATGACAGATTCTGCCCAAGAGGGAGACAACAGAAGTGGTAAGCCTGTCATCCCACCACAAAACCTAACCAATCCCTGAACTCCAGGACTACCTAATCCCTGTTTGCATCCTTGAGGTCCAAGGAAATCATCCAAGCACCCGGATCGAAAACGAACCAGACCTGGGACAACGTAGTCATCCGAAAGGAGGGACACGGAATCAACCGGTTCAGACGAGATAATGTACCGGAGATCCACAGTCCTGTTTCAGAAGTAGAAACAGGAGGGCAACCCACCTGAGAGATGAGGTCATTTTAACCACACCCAAGTAAATCCACTCTGATATGACCTGATGGATGGACAGGGAAAGAGGCCTGCCCCCCCCCAGACCCAACCCCCTGAAGGGAGGAAGTGCGAAGAGCAGCAACCGGACACAACACATGATGTACCTCCGGCTGAACCAACCAAGCATCAACAACCCAAGGACACCGCCGGAAAGCAGCAGTCTCATTCTTTGCTAGAAATGAAGGAGACAGCTGAAAACGAACAAACCTACCACCAGGACCAAAAGAGCAGAAACCCCTGCACCAGAGAAGAGCATGAAGCTCCCCAACCAACTCTTAGAGGCCAATGCCTACAAGAAAAGTCTTCGCAAAATAATCTTGTACTGACGGGGCCACAACAAACTGAGGAGAATAGAGAAAAGAGAGCAACCTGTCCAACGACCAGGGCGGCTCAGATGGCGCATGAGCGGGCATGAGGTGAAACAATGCACAAAACAGCTTGCGGAATGGAGCAGAAGTAACATCAACCCCAAATGCAAGCTGAAGCAGCTCCACCAGTTCTGCACAATATGAAGCTACAGAATTCAGCATAAGATGATGGTCCTGAAACAACCAGGAAAGGAGGGACAAGACAACCCGATCCAGAATAGAAGAGAAACTATAGAGGGACAAGAAACAACAAAAGGACAGCCAGGAAACTTCATACTGCTGCCAAAACGAAGCACGCAGGTGGGACACCATCAAGGAAGCCACCCGCTCACCATACAAGTGGTGATACACCTGCGTCAGAAGACCAGATGCAAAGACTTGAGGAGAAGAGCGAACCAGCTACGTAACGGACTGACCCGATCTGCTGAAAGAGGCGGAGCCGCGAGAAGACCCCCGTGTTCAGACACTGAACAAGCAGTACTGTACTTGAAACCAAGGCTGGGCCAGTTAGCCAAGAGAGACTACTCTCCCTTGGTAAGTCTCCAAGGGAGTTAGGACCTGGAGCAACAGCGGAACAGGGGCAAGAGGTACAAATAACCCCACCTTGACCAGTCCTACCTGAAGACATCGACCCCAACGGCCTTGCAGTTGGGGAAGGGTGCCATATATAATGGGAGACGCTGCGAAGAGGTCCACCTCCGGGAGTCCGTACGTCTGGCAGAGCCAACTGAACGAGTCGGCGTCAACTATCCATTCAGTAGACAAGGGAATGAACCAAGACAGGCCGTCCGCCAGGACGTTGGACACCCCCCGAATGTGAATGGCCAGGAAAGCCAAACCCAGAGAACTCAGCAGACGAGTCACCCGAAGCGACCCGCCCCAAAGCACCAAGGATTGCATCGAACCCCCACAGTTCAGGCAATGAACCACTGAGGAGGAGTTCAAACGGAGATGGATCGTCTATACATGAGCTACCAAAACCTGGAGAGTTTGGGTAGAGGGGAGCAAGAGCCATCACTCAAACACCTGCACCATGCTGTGTGTCCGACGGAAGGACGTACCTCACTGCTCCTGGCTGGCCCGGTGAGCACTGATCACAAAGCCTCAGCCAAGGAATGACGTGCCCATGAACACATTGAGCGAGGGCTCGGGTAGGCGTCAAGGCAGTGAACCCCCCAAAAAAGACTCCAGACTCCCACACAACCCTCTAGCAAAAACCTCGTGACCTGGGAGCCCCCCCCCCCCCCACAGAAACAGGTGAAGGTGGGATCACAGCTGCAGCAGGGTCTCTGGAGGGAGCAACAAGGAAGCGGTTCGGGAGTCCCAAACAAGACTCAGCCAATGACCAAACATGATAGGGACCCAGATGGGACTTATTCCAGTTCACCGGGAACCCGAACCCGGTAAGCTGGGAAGAGAACCAAATATCTGCCGAGCAGACACGCAGACTGGCTGGGAGCCCACACCAACCAGACATCAAGGTAGGCCAGAATGGAAGGCAACGAATACGGTAAGCCTGACACCCCACAACAAAATCTAGCCAGTCCCTGAACCCCAGGTGAATCAAGACATGCCAGTATGCGCCCTGGAGGTCCAGGGACACCATCCAAGCGCCAAAAAGAAGACGGGCCTGGGACAGAGTAGTCATCCAAAAGGAGGGGCAATAGACCCAGTTGTTCAGACGGGATAAGTCCAGAATGAACCACAGGTCTGTGAAGTCCCGTTTCGGAACCGGATACAGGTAGGAAAACCACCTGCGGGACAAGGTCGTTTTGACCACGCCCAAGCAAATCCACTCCAAGATGATACGACAGAGCGCAGGAGAAGAAGCCTACCCCGCACGCCCCGAAGAAGAAGGGGTCACCCAACTCCAATGCAGGCCACAAGAAACAACTTGAAATGCCAACGAATCTTAGGACCAGGTGTGAGCAAACAGCATGAGCCTCCCCCCCCTCATCACCTCGTCAATGGGACGAACTGCGAAAGGGCCGATGCCCCTTACAAGAAGCCAACTGATGAGCAGAGCGGTCATCATGCTGATTGACAAGCAGAGCGATCACCGCACCGACCGGTCATCGTCAGTTCCGAAGGCTGCGCTGGCTCTGAAACTGAAACCACTGGCCTACCATGACAGAAGGAACCCCGAGCCCTGGCACGACAATTCTGGGAAGATCCCCAGTGACCCCCCCCTCCCCCGAAGAACCAACAAAACCAGCATGGGACGACAACTGCTATCTGCTGCTAGCAGATACTGCACCACTGCAGACTCTGCAAACAGCAAAGGACTAAAAGGCATAGAAAACCTAAAAGCCAGGGCCCATGCGGATTCCATTGACTGAGCGAGCACCGCCTGCCAGCACGTGAGACAAGAAGCAAGAACAGACACCGCCTCCTGCAGGATCGGCGCAAACAGCTTCAATGGAGGAGCCGAAAGACATGGTACCAAATCGACATACAACATCACTATGCTCAAAATTATGGAGCTCATATATGTGACATTTTTATTATATTCTACGATCAATCAAACAAAGTTTTTGCTGTTATTATACTATATACACACATTGTATATACAGGTACCTATCTACACATGTGTTCACCATAACGAACCATTAAGTTGGTATGGTGAGTCGAAACAACAAAAGTGGCCCGCGACAATTCAATTTCAACAATAAGAGGATTGACTGGGAAAAAAT